GTTCTCTAAAAAAGACTGTAAAATTTCTATCTAAATTATATTTGATTCATTGTATTGGAGGCAACTAATTTGTCAAGTAACCGAATGTAGTAATTGAACTGAGAGGAGTTCATGGAGCTTGTATGTATATGAACATGTATGAAAGTGTTTGGGGCAAAACACATTCTGAGGCCTTTGGAGTTTTTTCTCTTTCAGTTTTTTTCCTTTAATGGGATATAATATTTCCATTCAGTAAACTGTATCCAAGTTCAGTCAGCTTTTATGGTTGTTGTGCTAATTTTTGGCTTGTCAGCCTCACTTTTCAGCAATGCCCATTCCCAGCTCAATACCAGAGACTTTCTTGTGAAGAAAGGCCAGGTTCTTCTCCCCAACTTAAAACAGGGCCCTGGCTCTGATGATCAAACATCAGACAGTTCCATCCATCAGTTGAAAGGATCCAGTAGAAATATTGTCTGGAAAAGGAATGTCCACAGCACTCCTTTCTCCTCTCTGTTTGGGAGTAACCTGTTCTTCTTACAAGGAATACTATCAGTCTCTTTCAGACAAGCAAGGCAAGGTCACATACAAATGGGATATGAGAAACCTCTCAGCCCTGCCTCTGTGTTTACTTCTTGCTATCAGTCCAAGCCACTGAACATTTCATAGATGAGTTTTATTTCTTATGGTCTGTACTCTAGCCTTGCTGTATTACCCAGAAATTTCATGCTGAAGGATAGTTTCATAACCAATTAAAAATGAAAGTACTGCATTGATGTAGATAGGCTGTTAAAATGCTGAGACCTGTGAACCAACACTGTATCTTTAGTGTGCCCTTATTTGGCCAAATGTTTATTGCCAATTGCATAATATAACATTTGGATTCACAAAAGATTGTACTGTTTTTCTTAATATTTATTATTTATTACATACTTACCATTTAACACTCCATTTCTCATTGTACTGAGGAACTAACAGAGTTGGCCATGGACATTTTCCTGACCTGTAACTACTGGCCCATGATTTTTATTGGTCCAAAGTAGATTCTGCCACAAAGAGCATAAGACTTGTACTGTATATTGTTTATACATGCAGCTCAGCGACAGCTGCTGACCCCTGAATGACTTGGAGATCTAGGGGTCTTAAGAACTCCCGTTTGTATGCATACTTCTGTACTCAGCATCTGAGATACTATTCTGCACATGTCCTCTGACTGAAGTTTGGTGACATTCATCTGAGACATGGACAATGTCAGCTGTCCTCCTAAGGGAGCATTCCTGGCCCTGCCATTATATTGTTTTCATTGCTCATCAAAGACAAAGAATTCTGGAGTGGTAATGGCTATGAAAGATTTCTTATTATGCTATTTTCTTATTGCTGCTTACAATTTGTATTGACTGAGATAAACAGATAAATAGTACTGGTTCTTGAGGGAGTTCTATTATTAATGTCTATTTCTGTCACACTTAGATAATATCAAAACATATCCGATGTTGTCTATCATCTTCAAGTAACAGGAGTTATTCCTAGTAAAGGTTTTACTTTTGCCCTTTTTGAATAATGGTTGATGGCACTCTTTAGAACATCTCTCAGAATATTATTCTTATTTTTACCCATATATTACTTATTTTTGTAGGGGTTTTGTTGTTGTTCTTGTCCTTTGAGTCAATGCTGACTTCTGCAGTTTTCCTGGTAAGATTTTTTCAGAAGTGGCTTGCCGTTGCCTCCTTCCTAGGGTGGAAGGGGAGAGTGGAGAGAGTGACTGGCCAAATGTCACCCAGCTGGGTTTTTGCCCAAGGCAGGACTAAAACTCACAGTCTCCTGGATTCTAGCCCAGTGCCTTTAACCATTATATCAAACTGGCTCTTATGTTATAAAACAAGCTAAGGTAATTTTAAGCCTCTTAGTTTTTTAGTATTTTGAAATAAGTTTTAAAAAATTGCAGCAAATCCTTAGATTGTTTTTAATACAAGGGGAGGGAATCATGTTTAATATGCTTACTGTATGAGAACAGTAAATTCCTTTGTATAGCACATCTATGACTTTAGGAAGTGCATGAGGTGGAGAGGTTTGCATGAAAGTATGCTGGGAGGTTATAGTAAGGTCATGCTCTGCTCACCAGGTAGTGATGCAAAACTAATCCAGATCTGCTCTGTAAAAGACCTGTTTACATAAGCATTTAAAAACAGATTAAAGCTAACCTGACACTGCATTACTGGAAGAACAACAGTCATTGCTATTGAATCTCAAAAGGCCATTTCTTTTTGTAGTTGAAGAAACAAATCTCCAAACCCATAGCCATACTTCATTGCTTGATCCTGAGGTGGCTTTCAGTTTAAAGAGATTACCACAAGGAGTGAAGATATGTGCAAAAATAAATATACTTGGAATTGGTTTCTATAATTACATGTTATCTTAGGAAATTAATAGATGGTAACTTTTTCATTCTGTTAAAAAAAATTGATTTTGATGATGATGATGATGATGATGATGATGATGATGATGTAACTTGTGTGTATACCACATGCATACTCACACCCACAAGGGAACTGTGATTTCAGTTTTCAAAGACAAAGTATGCCTGGTTTAGGACCAGCAGTGCTTAGCAATATGCCCTTGCTTCTCAGCACGTCTACAGAAGAAGTAAATTTAACACTAACTTAATAACAGCTATTGAGGGATGGTCCTTGCTATTGTTCCAGAAGAGCCAAGTCTCACAGGTCTTCAGTTCCAGTGCTGTGACTTTGCATATAGAAAAGAAACCCGTCTGAGTAGCCTTGGCTGAATAGGCACTACCTCAGTAGTTTGGAAGCTCCACTGAAATGGGAATTCACTGTGAGCACTTCACAAGGAATAGAACTACGTTTGTTAGGCTAGACATAATGTGCACAAGTAAGTGCAAAGCTCCAAGTTTGGAAAATGGGTTTAGACCAAGTGCAGGATAGTGCCAAGAAGAAGGAATGGACAGCATAATAGGCAGATCCCAGAAAAATCACAGAACAATGCAGTAAGGACATATCTCAATGGTATTTATAGTGTATGGGTGGAAAACAGAAAGCAGATGGTAACTATGAGCTTACTTGACTAGGGTCAACCAAAATATTCAGAATTTTGCTACTGGCTGCCTAATTAAGTATTACAGAGCTATACTTCCAAATAATCAATTGATGCTGTTTCATAATAATCGTTCTGAAGAGAAGGCTTCTTCAGGATTGGAAAGTATTTTCCATGAGGGTTAAGACTGGCCAAACCTCATAGTTTGAAAGACAACTGCAGATATCTGGATTTCTCATTCTTTACTATCCTTATATAAAACTAAGGATCATCTAGTCCAACCCTCTGGAATGTGTTGGAAAGTCAGTTAAACCATCCATAAGAGGTGGCTGTCTTGGTATTACATATTTTTATCAAACATGCAATCCAATTCCCCACAGAAGGAGAACTCACAAACTCCATAAGTAAAATGTTCCATTTTTGTGCAGATACTGTCCAGGAAGTGTTTCCTTATGCTGAAATAAGATTGAAATAGCTGCAATTATTAAAAGCTGTTATTTCTGGTCCTAGGGAAACTATTTTCCCTAGGTGGCTAGGGAAAATACAGTGGGGCAAAAAAGTATTTAGTCAGCCACCAATTGTGCAAGTTCTCCCACTTAAAAAGATGAGAGAGGCCTGTAATTTTCAAAGGGACCAGGACGACTGATCCGTGTAAAGGAAAGAATGAATGGGGCCATGTATCGTGAGATTTTGAGTGAAAAAGGGACCAGGACGACTGATCCGTGTAAAGGAAAGAATGAATGGGGCCATGTATCGTGAGATTTTGAGTGAAAAAGGGACCAGGACGACTGATCCGTGTAAAGGAAAGAATGAATGGGGCCATGTATCGTGAGATTTTGAGTGAAAAAGGGACCAGGACGACTGATCCGTGTAAAGGAAAGAATGAATGGGGCCATGTATCGTGAGATTTTGAGTGAAAAAGGGACCAGGACGACTGATCCGTGTAAAGGAAAGAATGAATGGGGCCATGTATCGTGAGATTTTGAGTGAAAAAGGGACCAGGACGACTGATCCGTGTAAAGGAAAGAATGAATGGGGCCATGTATCGTGAGATTTTGAGTGAAAAAGGGACCAGGACGACTGATCCGTGTAAAGGAAAGAATGAATGGGGCCATGTATCGTGAGATTTTGAGTGAAAAAGGGACCAGGACGACTGATCCGTGTAAAGGAAAGAATGAATGGGGCCATGTATCGTGAGATTTTGAGTGAAAAAGGGACCAGGACGACTGATCCGTGTAAAGGAAAGAATGAATGGGGCCATGTATCGTGAGATTTTGAGTGAAAAAGGGACCAGGACGACTGATCCGTGTAAAGGAAAGAATGAATGGGGCCATGTATCGTGAGATTTTGAGTGAACAAATAAATTCTTTAAAAATCAGACAATGTGATTTTCTGGATTTTTTCCCCCATTTTGTCTCTCATAGTTGAGGTATACCTATGATGAAAATTACAGGCCTCTCTCATCTTTTTAAGTGGGAGAACTTGCACAATTGGTGGCTGACTAAATACTTTTTTTCCCCACTGTATGTATATCTCATCATTTTACATCTTCATAATCTAGGAGAATGATTTATAAAATGATTTGTGTAACATAGGAAATATACTTACTGTACCTGCAATCATTGCTAGAAAACAGTTATTGCAATTTCTTTTTACTTCTGCTAAATTGCATGGCATATATCAGTGTAGTGATATAGCTGAATCATAAATTAACTCTGTTACCATGACATTTTTTTTATTATTTTTAGTTCAAATGTCTTAGGTAGTGGGCAAAAGAGCTAGGATACAACTCTTGTCATTTGTATCCAACTAAAAATAGTTCTAATAACAAATATTATCTAAAGTATTTAATGCAAACATTAGAACTGATTCCAATCTGTCAAATTGTGTGTGTATTTCAAACGCCAGTATGAGGATAGGTCTAAATGGATGGATATTTATTGAATGATAATATATATTTGTTTTCCTAGGGAAGAAAAAGAGCAGTGGATCCGGGCCAAATATGAGCAGAAACTCTTTCTAGCTCCATTACAGTGTTTAGACCTTTCTTTAGGTCAACACCTGCTACGAGCAACTGCAGAGGAAGATTTGCGGACTGTCATCCTGCTTCTTGCACATGGGACACGTGAAGAAGTGAATGAAACCTGTGGAGAAGGGGATGGACGATCAGCCTTACATTTGGCTTGCAGGAAAGGAAATGTTGTGTTGGTGCAGCTCTTAATTTGGGTAAATAAGTACCACATGGATTTGGAACAGGCTTGATGAAAATGTTCAGACTGTCAGTGTGATTTAGCCAGATGCTCATGCATTTGCTTCCAATAAAAGAAAACCTTGGTAGTAGATATTTTTATTAAAGACACAGTCCTGACTTGGCTGATACCCTCAAATCTGGTTTGGGTTCTCTTGCGACCCGTTTTGGTGCAGATCTTGATATGATCCTCATGTCATTGTGTTGTGAATTCACTCAGGCCCAAGATATAGGAGCAGAAATGCTGACCCAGGGTTCTTTCGCAAGGTACATGGTCAAAAGCAGCTCAGATTTAAAATCCCCAAATAAGAAATTGGTATAATGGACCTTAGTTTAATGAGAAGTCTCTTTCTTATGGATGTTTCTGCCTGCTGCTATTCAGAAGTCATTTCAGGGCTTGAAATGTTGTGTATTCTTTTCACAGTATGGTGTTGATGTTATGGCCCGTGATGCCCATGGAAACAGTGCTTTGGCCTATGCGAGACAAGCAACAAGTCAAGAATGCATTGACATCCTCCTGCAGTATGGTTGTCCAGATGAGCGCTTTGTCCTTATGGCTACTCCCAATTTATCCCGGAAGAATACTAATAAGAACAACAGCAGTGCAAGGATGCCTTCCATCATCTGAACAATTTGGTTCTTCTTCTCCTTCTTCTACAGTTTTATATTAGTTTGACAATGGAGATCTATATGTCTATAAAACATTCCTTCTCTTCTTCCCCTTTTCATTTCCACCAGGATATTGTTAAGTAGCATTGATAGTTTTAATACACAAGAAAAAAAGAGAACTGCAGAAACCATTTATATTAATACAATGATTTTGAATGAAAAAAATTATAAAAGGGGAGAAACCAAAGAGGGATCATGGACATACTAATGATAACTCATGACAGTGGACCATTTTACTGGGTGTCTCTAGGTGGGGCAGTTAGGAACATTGTGTGAGACTTACTGGAGAGAGACAATAGAGGGAAAAAGAGAAGAAATTGTAACTTTTCTTAACTGACAGTTAAGCGCATTAGTACATTTCACCTCTACCAAACTGAACATTTGGGTTTCATTCTCTTTTCCGAAGAGCTTGACGGCATAAATCAGAGGCAAGCACAGAGTTTGTCAGGTCTGAAGCTCCTATGATGGTATGTGTCAAATCAGTTGTAGCTAATCTGTCCAGAGAGAATACTGGCTTCATTACACTTGTATAGTTGAGTTCTTCCAGCATTACTGCTGTTTAATAGAACATGATTAGTCATCACGGAGAAAAAAGCATATTAGCCGAGGAGGTAGTTACATGGCACGCTTCAGTGATTGCTTGGATGTGATTGCAATATTCTTAGAAGCATCATATTATCTCAGACATGTTCTTTCAAGCCCTTGGAGCCCTCCTTTCTAAATTCACTGTCATAATTTAGTATCTGTTTAATTTTTCAGTCCAAGGAGAGGAAATCAGTTGCTGAGTATTATTTGACTACAGCCTCCTTGGTGGAAAAACAAATGGAAAAAAATAAAAATAGCTATGAAATGCAAAGAATAATAATGAATACTGCTAGGGAAAATATATTTCATATACATTTATGAGAATAACTGTATAAAAAGCCTTCTTTTCAGTCTTGAGAAATATATTGTTTCATTTTCATCAAGGTAAATGGGTTGGGATCTTTCATGTGCATTTCCTAAATTAAGCAGATTTTGCATTGTTTTCCTCGGTTAAATGTATATACAAATTAATTGGAATTCTAAATGTTCATAAATATGCATTGATTTTTTTGTAAGGCACATACACTTTTGTTAATTTATAAATTGCAATTAATGTAAAATAATATGCAGATAGTTAGACTCTAAGGGATCACAGATCATAATGATAGATCATGGAAACGATGCCAGCAAAGTAATAGATTTTTATTCCTTCGATGGAGACCATATCTGATTATAGTGTTGGCACATGTTTATAGAAAAATGGTTATGAAATATGATTTGGAAGGACAGGTTATTGCCTTCCAGAAGCACAAACATCCTTCTCTGCATATTGTTGTGGCACTGTATACTGTGAGTGGAGGATGACTGGAAACTATAAGCAAATAATGCAGAAAATGGGGTATGTCCCCATACTAGTTACTTTGATATTACTCTTTAAAAGGAAAATGGCTTCTTGCATTCCAAAACAATTTTGCTGAATAGGCTGACTCGGGGAGAATTTAACATTTAATTATAGAAGATTATAACCATTTCATTATTTTGAGTAGCACTCAATAGTGCTACTATTTCTAGTTTTTCCCTCCTTTATGTGAGTACAGAAAAAAGTAGTTGTGTAGAGAATGAAGATTTATTAATACTAGACAGAAAAAGACATGAGCATTTTTTTTAATGACCAAATGAACAATTCCATTATATTTTTCTTTGAAGGAAAAGTATTTGGAAGAAATACAGCATTGGATTAAATATACATTGAAAAGATACAAAGAAAGATTTTTGAAATGTTCCTTGAAAATGTGAGAAACGTCTATGTCACTTATTATAGTTCATTGGCATCCCTTAGCCTTCTGTTTTCATGTATTTAGGTCTCTAAGCGTTTTAAAGAAAATAGAAGAAATCTGACAACTATATGTTTATCATTTGGAACATATTCGAGCATAGCAGGGGTGTCTGCAGCAAGCCAAGCTTTGTCAAAATGACAGAGCATGGCATTGTGTGGTTACAATGTAAGCTCTACTCCTTATGTACTAGCATGGGATGTCATGATGCAGTACAAAAGAGGTGGAGTTTGCATTGCAGTGTTCCATCACAGATTTTGTCAGCTGTCTTCCCCTGAGCCCCCTGTCTATCAAACAGATACTTCTTTTAATATAGTTTCCTTCTCATTTCAGATGGATGGATGGATGGATGGATGGATGGATGGATGGATGGATGGAAGGAAGGAAGGAAGGAAGG